TTCCTCAGCTCAGCTAAATACTAAATATGTATGTACATACATACGTATACGTTTGTAAAAAACACAAGTTTTGACTGCCTTATATGTATGTATGTATGAGCACCAAAGCACTTGCTGACAAGAAGACGCTTACTCTTACCTCTAAATTATTACTTCAACACACTAATACGTATGCAGATTCATTAAAAACTCCCACAGCTTGGTTGTAAGCGCGCTTACACACAACTTAAACACGGTTAACTACTCAACCTAAGTTCGTCTGCCTTGTGCTGCGCTTCTGCGCATGCGTGTGTATACGATCATGCAAGCGAAAGGCAGCGTGCGCTCTTCTTTGCTACTAAATATTTATGCGGTGGAAATTAAAACTGGTGGCTAAGTACATATGTATGTACGTCTACTTACATGCCCCTCATTTACTTATTATTTTCTCAGCCCATTCAAAAACTCCATTGTCGTCGTTGTTGGGTTGTCAGGGTTTGCTTTCTGAGCCAGCTACTCAGTTTACTTCCGAAAACCTTTGAGAACGGACGCATTTTTCTTTAGTGACGGAACTCGGTGTGCGAATTAAATTACATATACATATGTATGTATTTCTTACACTTACCGCCATACAAACTTACATACATTTGTATATGGTAGATAATAACAAAGCGATTACGAACCCAAAATAAAAATAAAATTTTAACAAAAACTACCACCGCCCGAGCACAGTTTTAACATTTTGGTGGTTACGACCTGTTTATTACGTTTTATTGTGTCATTAATGTTTTGTTTTTGTGCCTTTTGTTGTGTTCGCTTGTCCTACCGAGGCGGCCAGAAACCCTCGCTCATACCTACTTATGCAAAGGCGCGATCGCCTCTGGAGCGTGACGTGATATATTTTTTTTTTTACCTGCGCGTGTTTGTGTGTGCGATAGTGTGTGCGGGAATTTCGTCTACTTTTTTGGTGGTTCAAATTTGCATAAGAATTTATGTATGTATATGTACATACTTATACTTATACACTTATGTGGGAAAAGTGTACCACCAACTGCTGATGGCCAGTGTCCTTTAAGGATGTGTGTGGCGTTGTAAGGTGCCTGCACACCTGTCACAAGCAACCGAAGGGCAGCAAATAATTGAAAACTCCTTTCAAGCGAGAAATATTGAATGCCAAGAAGCACAAATAACTACACACAACTACAATTGAAGCAATAAGAAGGTAATTCATTTTAAGATAAGAAAATTGTACAAAAAGTGTTCAAGTTTTTATTTGTTCCCACGCTCTGATGGCGATAAAATTAATTAATTCCTTGACGTTAGTGTGTCACAGTGGGAGGGAGTTACACGGAAGTTTCTAATGGATTAAAAAATTGAAAGAAAATAGGAAGTGAACGTTGTCCCTTATAAGGGAATGCTTCAAAAATGAAAAAGGTCAATGTGCCGCAGGAATAAAAACTAAGCAATTGCGCTTTTACAAAAATAGCAGACCCCGTTTACACGATTTATTTATATAAATTGAAGCAAAAGGTCTGACATTTTAGCAAAAATCAATAGCTTAGTTTTTATTTATGCGGTCCAATGCTATTAATCGTGTAAAATAAAATAAATATAAAACCAAACTCAATCACAAAATGTTGATTCTTTAATGTATTCATAGTATAGTTTGCCACCATTGATGGATGTGGCCAACCTTTAATTAAACCCGACGTCCAGCCCGACAGAGTCGAAATAACGTTCGGTGGCCGCGCTTCGTCGAAGTGATTAACGAAAGTTAACGTTATAAATAATATAAAATTTGTTCACTACTTCTCCCTGGAAAAATCCTCAATTATCTTCGAATAATTCCAAAATCCCAATATATCAATAACACTGTGCGTAAGCCAAAAAAAAAAAAGATACGAATGCAGTGTGACAATTATAGAAGAGAAGAATATTGGACGGATATAAACGTCAAAATTTGTTACTGTGTTTTGAAATTTTTCTAATTTGGCCTCAAATGTATCTAAATAGCTTGAAAACTTTCGATTAAACATACATTTACAATTAATCTCGTCTTTAAGGTCTATAGAAAAATTTAATGTCGAATCTTTTTGAGCAACATTTTAACCCACTTTTTCTCACCCTTGTTGGTCGTTTTGACAGTTGTTTGTGTCAAATCAAGTAGTAATTCCTGTTGACCTATTGATCTAAAATTGTGTACACACCAAATACAATTATGCATATTCTATGCAATTGTAAGCGCTGGACTAGTAGAATAAAGTGCTCTATAAAAAATTCCAAATTCGAAAAAACCGTTTTGTTTATTATTTTTTGATGTTGGTCGGGAACCGGGCTCGCAATCAGGCCCTGTAGCGCGCGTCACTAACCACTACACCGTAGCGACTGCATAAACGAAGGGTAGAGTTCTGGAAATCTTCAAAATAACTCCCGGAGCTCCGATCGTCGAGCCATTGATAAAAATAATACATTTAGGGGCAGCAGCTGACTTTATACTCCTTGCCAATCCATTTAACATATATATACTATAAGTAGCGTTCTTGACTCTGGCTCTACGCCACCATATTACAGCACAATACGTTATGATCGGCCTGACTAAAGCTGCACAGCACCGCAGCTGGCCTTAGATTCGAAGTCTTATTAAAACCTCGACGGCTGTTCGAAAACTTTGAGTTCTCGATTTACCCTCAGCTCCATGGGAGTTTTCTAAGTCCCCTTTTATATACATAGAGTGAACTTTAGATATTTTACGTTCGCGCAATGACCTCGGTTTTGGTCGCTAAGCACCGCAAGGTTGAGATTTTTTCATCCATCCATCAGAGATTTTTTTGACTAGGAAGCTTGTATGTGATCGAAGTACGTATTGCGTTTGTGTTAATAGGGATTCCTTTACTCCGTAAGAGAGACATACCGCTATGTGGTCATCCTCTTCCAACCTCTATCATCGGACAAAGGGCATCTTCCGCCTCAGTAGTCAAACATGTTAAAGAGTGGATTAATCTTATGCTTGGCATTTGCAACACGGTCAGATCCTGTGGCGAAGAGGAGTCAATGGAACATCTTATTACCACCTGTCCAACACTAGCTCACCATAGAGTCAAACTTTTAAACGACTACGCGCTTAGCGAAGTCAGCCTGATGCAAATTTCGCAACAGGGACTCATACAATTCCTCAACATATTAAACAACTAAAGTTCAGATATGGTAGCGGTGTAAGAGGCCTTTAGAGGTACCTTTAGATAACCATTTGTCGAATACCTCCTCAGCATCAGCAAAGGTTCCCGTTGTGCACTCATTGCTACCAGCCCCATTTGGATCTTTGTTACAGGGTCTTGCAGCGCTAATGAGTTCTAAGCGAGCCGTGTACCAAAAACTTTTATTCGGCTGTGTATTTTGACTGCGCACTCAAAGCCTTTTAATATGAAGCATGTCATACTTTTCCGGAGGAAGAAGTAACGTATTTGTTGTCACAGTCAAATTGCACTCAAAGCCTCGAATAAAGAATGTTGGTAAATATGTATCACTCTAAGCGCCAATGCACACGGGAGTACTTAAGAACATCTGCAAGCAGTCAGCCATCGAAACCATGGTCAGAAATATATATATATTTCGCTCAGCAATGACTGGGAGACATCCAGGGAAACGAATGGGCAAAACTCAGTTTCCCCACAATTTCAAAAGTTCTTGCTAGGTATTTGCTTTCATGGGGCAAATTGGAACGCAGGAAATTTGTAGGAAAACTTGACAGAAAAGCAGTTTTAAGATTTTTCAATGCCAGCGATTTTTTTTTGGTCTCCGCATTGCATTTTTTTTGGTTTTTAGGGAACGCATAAGAAAGAAAGTCTCCTGAAGAGAAGCAAAGTTTTCCAATCGAAAAATATTTATTTTCAAGAATTCTATACCATATCCACGAACATTGTTTTATTTTCATATAAAATACACGGAAAAAAATTGAACGGCTTGAGCTACCTCTAAATATTTTTTGATTTCGAAATAAAAAACAGGGGTATATTTTTCGATATGGAAAAATCCTAAGAGCATTAAAATTCCGACTTATTTTGTTTTTTTTTTTTAATGTGCTTTTGGACCATCCTAATGCACACTGACGAACAAAAGTATTAGCACAGAGAAGTTTTCGTATGAATGCCAAGTTTTTTATTCTAATATCTTTTCGTCAATTTTTTATAAAAATAAAGTTCACACTACAACAAAAAATATAAAAGTAAAATTTCTGAACTTTGTGCAAAACTTTCTAAACAGATATTTTAAAATTATTCTAAATATAAAAGTTTAGAGATTTTTTGTAAATGAAAAATTCCATGTCAACCGAATTATAACTGCAAGCAAAAATTGGTTTCTCAAATTTTTTATTATAAATTTTTGATTCGGTTTAATTGGAGTTTTTCACATATATTAGGGTAGTCCTTGAAAACACCAGCATCTATATTGTGTATGTATTTTGTTCTACGCACAGAATAGAGCCACCAACGAAAGTTTAAGAGATTAGGGTTTGAAAAAATTATTTTTTTTTTAAATCGCAACAAATTCACAAAATTTTTACTTGCAATATGACAAATATGACAAGTTATTAAAACTTATTTATATAAATTCATTAACTCGCTGAGTTAAAAATAGTCAAAGTCAAAATTTTGTTCAGAAAAAGCAACAAGAGATTTAGAAAAGCAGTTTAAGTTTTCGAACCCTGGCAGCGACGTCCAGTTGAGAATGCGATGGCGAAACGGTTTTTGTGTATCTGCCCTGCTTGTTCAAGAATAAGGTAGGACCATAAAACCAATTTTTAATCAAAGAGTGATTTCATATTTCATAAAAAATTGCTGACCACTCTATACATATGTACATATAACATAAACATTTCGATACATACATATCTACGTACTACTAGCCTGGTTCTAATTTGAGTATTTTCTGATTTGTATTTGCAGCTTTTAAATGATTGCAAATCTGAGTATCCGAGCACTCACCTTGGTGACACATTGTAAAATGTACCAACAACAAACATGATGTTTCTTGACTTCCTGATCTTCTCCACTGCCAATTCACAACGATCAGAAAGTCACGACGCAACGGCGACCGAGGGTGTGGAAGTGGCTGCGGCGGCAGCTACAACAATAGCCATTGACAAAATGACAACTGAAGGCAAACAAAGTGCGCAAACCGCAAACGAATTACAACAAAAGCAGCAACTAATTGTTGGCAACTTACTGACAACAGCCAACAAACAACAACCAATAAGCAACAACAAAAGTGCAAACCAACCAAGCGTCGAAGCGACGGTAAACGACGTAGACGGCAATGCAACGCACTGCTTTGTTGATAATAATAAAAGTCTAAGCGACAACAACAAAACATGCAGTCGTAGCAGCAACAGAAATGGGAGCTACAACGGAAATGCTTGCGGTGCCAGCAGGAGTAGTGCCGCTGATGATAGCAACCACTTTTGGCCGATTGTTGGCAGCGAAAATGAAAACGAAACGCTTCAGTGCACAATGCTGGCAGACATAGAAGTGGAAGCACCAACAGCAGCGGCATTTGAACCCATCGAATGCAATGGCGGGGAAGAATGCGTTGAGGCTGAAATTTTGTTGCGCCTAGGGAACGTTTACGGAATACAACGGGCAAGTGACGAAGTGGGATTAACAAAAACAAAAGAGAGTATGAGCAACGGGACAGCAATAATAACTGGCGAAGCAGCAGCAGCAGCAGCAGCAAAAGAAACAGTGAATAGTTTTGCATTGACAGGCCAGTTTAGCTTAGCGGAAATGGCAACGGCAACGAGTACAGTGACAACAACAGCGGACACAACATTTGGGTGGCTGCCATGGCTGCTGCACGGTGGTGGCATAGAGAGCAAAGCTGGCATGCCATTGCTGCGCACAGGTGGGAGAGCAGGCGCATGCGCTTTGGACGCGATACCATCGAGAACAACGACGATGATGGCGGCGTCGGCGTCGGCGGCGACGGAGGCAGCAATAATCACTGTGACGAGTGCGACTTGTGCTCTTGCCACAACAACAACAGCAACAGCAACAACAAAAACAAATACACTGTGCCATGCCACTGACCAGAATACAGGCAACCCATGGCAGTTAAGCTTTGACGACGACCAGTATGCCAGCGGCTGCATACAGCAAAGAGTCACCAACTTGAATGTGAGAACCGCAAGCGTGAGGGACGTGACGAAATCAACTTCGTCATCGATCGAAAACAATTCACCACAACGAGTAGCGTTTACGTGCACGAAGGACTATGCCACTACGAACGCCATTTTCCCCACAACACAACACATCGGCGCGACATGCCAACAGGCTGAGGACGTGACATCGGCAAAGGGTGACACAACAAAGTCCTTACAACAGCAACAACCAGCAGCTAGCGAAAGCCCCATCATCATCATCAATAGCAGCAGTAGCAGTGAAAGGAGCTGCGATGGCAGCGTGGTGAATGTGAAAGCACATAGAACAGCAGCCAGTCGAGCCAGCGGCGACCAACACGACGAGGACAACGACATACGAGTACGACGTGTGGCTGGAGCAGCAGCAGCAGCTGGAGCAGCTGAGACGAAATTTTTTTCAAACTATAGAAAAAATTGGAAAACTGTGAAAAATACCAAAGCAGCAAGCCAAGTCGGTGTTTTAGTGGATAACGGCACTGCAAGTGATTGTGAAAATTTATTGTGTAGTGAAATTCGACAAAAAGCCAGTGCTGATAACTGCTATTTATATAATTTTAAGGCCCTGAATGGTGAATGGTGTATCTGTGAAGCAGCAAATTTGTTGGCTGGCTGCGAAGACGACAGTGAGGTCAATAAAGGGGGTGGTGGCGACGGCGACGGTGTCGTTGGAAGCGCTGCTGTGCGCCTTGATGACGGTACCAGTAGAAGTACCAGCGCCAACGCCAGTGCCAGTGTCGATACCATAAAGGCCATTCATGAAAACATTGAAAAAGTAGAAGAAAGTAAAGTTGGTGAAAGTCGAAGTCGAAAGTGGTGTCAGGGGCAAGCGAATGAATGCGAACTTAGATTGAATACAATTGAAAACGTTGAAGAAAAGGAAAAAGGCTTTCAAGAGCCTATCGAACAAAAAACAGATACAGCTGGAAACGACGACGGAGGGCGCTACTTCGTCACAAACAGGCAGGCGGAGGCTGAAAAACTCCACAAGGGCCACTTTTCATGCGAATTGTCTACACTCGTGGCGACGAACGAGGCACAGCAACAAATAGAGAAAGAACAGCTGAAAGCAGAAAGTATAGCAAACACCAAAGAGATAAGTGAAATAAAAACGAAAGAAACGAAAAATCATAAAGGAAAAGAAGTAGAAAAACGAAACGACGAAGTAAGTGTAGCTGAGTATGAAAAATGCCCGCATCAATGCGACGTGATTTGCACAAATAAGCCTGCTCAGCAAATTTGTGGCAAACGACTCATCCCCCACACGCATCAAAGGCAGCCGAGGCAGGACCAGTCGCCAGCAGCGGAGAGCTACAGCAGCTGGGAGGTAGGCGCATATTTCAATTCAACGAATACGCAACGAGCGCAACGAATACATAATTCGCAACAGCAATTCACACAGCAGCAGCAGCAGCAGTCACTGCTAAAGCCCGATTACACGGCCGCCAATGTTGAGCTCGTTGAATATAGCAACGACAACGAATTAGTAACTAAAGTGATTGATGAAAACTCCACGCGGGGGCGACACAGTACAACAGACGAAGCCTTAGCGAGGCCACCGCTCCTAAGCGAGCAGGAGAGAGAAGAGTGCTGGCAAGAGGTTTCAGTCGGAAAAGCAACAGCAGCGAGCCAGTTTAGAGAGGGGCAAGAAGTAGCGCAAAATTGCAGCCCTGACTGTGAAGTTATTAATGAAAACAAGACTGCCTACGCGGCCAACCCTACTGCGGTCGTACACAGAGCCAGCCCCACTGCGAACGAAGTAGCGAGGACGCGTAAGCATAAATCGGCGATAGAAGCAAAAGAAAGCAGACAAAGCGACGCACAAGAAAGCAAAGAGGAAAAAGTAAGCGAAAATTGCAGAACGCGAGGAGAGCAGGAGTCGCAGAAAGAAGCATTTTTTAAGTGTACAAGTGCTCTTGGTGGTGGTGGTGGTGGTGTTGCTAATATAGGGCGGCGCAGCCACACCACTTGCGAGGCACCTGAAAGTGCAAGTAATCAAAGAGATAAGTGGGCAAAAGGAGGCGCTAACGACAACACATCAACACATCAAGCGGTCGAACAAGTGGCAAATGTTGCCATAGAAGCCAACGCCGAGAATGCAAAAGTGTTTAAAGAGGTAAGTGCGACAAGCACACAACGCACTTCAAGCTTAGCTAAAGCACCACAAAGTGAAAGTACCACACGACAACTGCGTCAGGGGTTGGAGCTTGGGCTGTATTGGGGCAATTTAGTTCAAGTTGCAACACAGCAGCAACAGCAAACTATTGACGAAGAAGTAGCAAAAACTATAACTGCACGTCGATTACCGCAGAAGCACACTCGAGAAAGTGCAGCACAAAAGGGGTCACAACAGCTGGATTCGCTAGTTGAATGCGAAAAATATGGGGAATGCGCTGATATAAAACCGCAACAGCTAGACAATACAAACCTAAGTGAGGCAGATAAACTACTTTTGAATAGGCAACACTTAGCCGAAGCGTGTACCCACTATAGCGCGGCGCACGTCGCACACGCAGCCCCCAAGGGAACGCTTAACGTGTCAGCACCATCATTAGCAGAGGGTGCCGTCGGTGGTAGAGACGAATTTGCGGCTAGTCAACGCTTGCAACGTTTGCAACAACATTTTCGTGGATTAGTATGCGTGACACGCAATCATTTTAAAGACGAGCACGAGCCCCAATATGACAACGGCAACTTTGGCCACGACGACGTGCATGCTAATGAAGTGAGCGCAGGGGAGGTAGAGCAGCAGAAATTACAGAAAAGCGATAGAGACTACTACGAGGGCGACGGCAACGGAGACGAAGTAGCTTGTTCATCAGACAAATTTTTCTATACGAAACGGCAGGCAGACGAAGCAGCGAAGTACGAAGAAGCCTTGAAAAGCAGTGAAAGCAAACACTTCGAAGGTAAGCTTGGTACTAAAGGTTGCTTGGCAGAGGGAGACGCATACGCGCGGCAAAGCGCTGACAGTCAGACGTCGCAGCAGATAATTGAAATACCAAAGGACAACAACAACAACACCGGCGGAGGAGGTCTAGTGGACCTAACGGAAGAAGAACAGGAGGCAGAAACTGTTGTTGTATTGCTCGATAGAGCAAAACCAGCAGCAAGAACAGCAAAAATAATAACAACAACACTTGCGGTTGGCCAAATCGCAGACAAAAGACGAAATTGCAGCAACAGTGGTGGCGTAAGGTCGCCACAGTGGATAATAGCAGCTACGACAAACGACAAAGGTGACTTAGGCGTTGAAAAGCCAAGTGCAATCCAATTAACAGCAGAAACTCGTTGCAACAGCAGCAGCGTTAAGTTAGCGGACAACAACAATAATCGGCGAAATAAAAATAGTAATTGTAATCAACAAAATAATTTCGAGAGAATCATCAACACTTTTAGACAACCGAGCAGCGAGTGCGCAGCAGCCACAGCGCAGGAATTCAACGAACCAAGTGAAAGTAACGAGCGCCTAGCGGAAGCAAGAGCAACAGCAGCTGGCGAGAGTACAACAGAGCGCCGCTCAATTGAATGCTGCGAAAAGCAACGAGCGGAGGCACTTGACTCGCTGCTAGCGACTAGTGATAGTGGTAAACTAACGGTACACAGTACAACCCCAACTGAGGTAGGAATAACTACAGTTAGTCAAGAAGATAAACCACCAGAAGAGGAAGAAAAGAAAGCGGAGGACGAGCAGAAGAGCGCGGCGACGAGAGGAGCAACAGCCACCCCAAAGCAAACAGCAAATTCGAATGCGACTGTGAATGCCAGCAGTATACAAAACGCTACAACAACAACAGCAACCATTGAGGCGCGAATAAACAATAACAAAAATCGCGTGGAAATACTTGAACAGCCAACGCGACATAAACAAAGTGGTGGTGGCATAGCAGGCGCATCGTCAGCGACGTCAACCCACAACGCAGAGTCACGCGAACTTGCACTGACCAACGCAACAGAGAATTCAACGGCTACAACAACAACAACTGTAGAAAGTTTTGCTAACTCAATAGTCAGTAATCGCCCTTTGAATCCAACGAAAACCGCAACATTTGCACAGGAACAGTGCCAACTTTTGAACTCACAGCCGGAAGCGCATTTAGAAGCGCCATCGCCATCGCCATCGCCATCTTCACCACCGCCACCACCACGTCCGCCACCGCCCAAAGCGGCTTTGAATTTTGGTCGGTTAAGCGCTTTTGTTGCCACAAAACCCTCAAGTGAACAACATTTTCCAGCGGCAACCGGACCGTTTTTGTACTGCAATCACGTCAGTAACAAAAACTGTTGTGTCTATAACCATTTGAGTCCCTACGTACCCCCCGCCATCTATCAGCCCATATACGAGTACGCGTTTTATCCGCTTGCGGGCAATTCGCTATACGAATTTGATGCGCGTCGATTGAGTGATATCATCGGTGGCGGATACGCAGCAACAACAACAACAACAACAACAACAAAATCAACACCAGCAGCAACACATCACTGTGTGCCATTGTCCGTTGTCGGTGTGGACACAAATCAAAATTTCGTACGCGACACAAAGAAGTGTGAATTCAATCGTATCGGCGGCGGCTGTGACGGCCAAGGTAGCAACGTCGCTTTAAAGCCGCTGAATTTGCTGAACGGTGGTGTTAGCGCGTTTGCAAATTCCGACGCCTTCGAATGTTACGACGAATTATTCGATGAAGTGTCTTCAATCGGTATTGACACAGACGTGTACGCGAATAGTGAGACCGCTGAAACAAATTCGATTTGTGATTGTGTGAATTGTGCGATTGAACAAAATGCAAATCAGTTGCTGAACAACAGCGACAACATTAACAGAAGCAACAACAACAACAACGAAAACGACATTAGTGTGTATAATTTGAAAAACGGTAAAAGCAATTACGTTCATTTAAATCAAAGTGTATCGGGCGCATCAGACGTGCCCGCACGCCCAATAAATTGTGTCACCACCGGCGACATCAACACCAAAGTATCTCTAAGTGCAACAAACGTGCGGACGCAAGTGTCCAATCGAAACCAAAAAATCGAAGACCCCAATCAAAGCCACAACCAAAGTTTAAATATTGTAAACACAGTCGCCGCTGCTGCCATCAACGCCACAAGCGCCGTTACAGCCGTCAAAATGCGTGAAGTGAACGGTCAGTTGCGCGGTCTGCTCAAAAAACCGAATCGTCCGCCGCCGGCGCGTAAAAATCGTGTCGTCTTCGATGAGACACGCAACGAATTCTTCGAGGCGGATTATATTATTTTGATACGTGAGGATTGCGCCTACGATGAGGAGGATGAAGAGCCGTGCACATGCGGCGAACACGAATTGGTGCGTTTGTGCTGTGAGGAGGGCTGCCAATGTAATTACTCCGCCACGGTGGCTGCGGGCGTTGGAGGCGGGGGAGGTGGTGTTGGTGGGCCCGGCGATGAAACACGCACACCGCAGGTAAGTCGGGACGACAATGAATTTACATGTACGATTTAAAAAAGCGAATAAGTGTTGTGTACTTACATACTATGTTTGTATATACATACATAGAAGGGTTTATTGAGCAATATATTTTGGTTGGATATAATCGAGACAAATCCCAAGGAAACCGTATAACAAGTATTTGCACTTAGATCCAAAATCTATAAGGCAACGGTACACAGGGCTATTGGTATTCACTTGAGTGACATTATCGTGATGCTTTCCATTTCCAGACAACCGGTCAGGTACGAGCATGATTTTTAATTTCGACCAAACTCAAATACATTGTTTGTTGGTCCAAATAATGAGAAACGTATTTTTTCTTTTGGATCGGAAAAATTTTTCGGCCGAATTAAACGCGATTTTGTTTTTCAGGCAAAAATCGATTATTCGAATTGACAGTGAGAATTTTTTTTTTAAATGCCCATAACTTTGTCAAAATTGAATAGATTCCAACAATGTTTTTACTCGAATGTCAGTAATTCTTGTCACTTCAAGATAGAGTGATATAATTATTGATTTTCATTATTTAAAATTTTTTATTTAACAATAAACAAAAAGTGCAAATTTTTTTTTTAATTTAATTTTTCAAAAAGTGTATTTTTTTTCTCTCAAACTTTTTTACCAGGTAAGAGACACTTTGAACTACAATCAACCCAAATCTCTAATAGCGAAGACTTTTTT